TTGCGATTTATGCGGGATTATGTTATATTTTGCGATTCATGCGGGATTATGTTATATTTTGCGATTTATGCGGTTTATGTTATATTTTGCGATTTGCTAGTATTTGTTATGGTTTATATTCGTTCTACAAATCCTCGTATTTTTCAACTTCATAACGCAATAATTTGTTGTTAGAGTACATATCCTTAAATTAAATAAAATTGAACGCATTGTGGTTTCCATGCACGTGCACCTCATTAGCGCGGGTTCTTCTCGGAGATAATTTTGAGAACGTAATTCATCTGAACCACTCACTGATTTTAACCGAACATTACGTGAAACGTTCACACAATGGTTCTCGAAACTGCATACTATTATATTCTGACAGATTATACCATTTCAAAAAACAAACACGTGTTTTAATTAATTAGCAATTGATGATATGGGACATTAAGATAATTATAAAAATGTCGTCAACATTTTCAGTCTCGTCTCTGACAGAACACAACGATGACAATCCTTTTGACCGTTTGTTGAATAACACAATTTTCGGCATGTGATGAGCGTGGCTTATTCATGTATAATTCCGCCAACAGTTCCTCGCCCATAAATGATGCCGATTGTTAATGGTGGGTGAATGTATGCAGTCACCAACAAACATCAACAAAGGAGAAATAGTTGAGGTTGGTAATAAAAGTACCGTAGAAGAATTTAGTAACCATGGTAACACTGGTACTCATACAGCAATGTTGGAAGACTCAATTATTCCTCGGCGAAGTTCAATACCGACGACGTCCCAAATAGAAAATGCTAAAGTTGACAACCAAGATTGCGTTAATTTAAATTTAATGATTTGTTGTATATAGTCCAACCGCTTTTTATTTTCTCTATGTTGATCACGGTTGGCAAAGCTTGGATTGATAATCGACTCGGTCAACTGTCCGCATACTGTGACACCCGCTGTACATACTTGGGAGCAATGCAGTTGAATATAGATGCATGAGTGGGCTTATTTTAGACATGTGTGTTTAATGAGAATATTTCATTCTACGAGGGACGTGTCGTATCTTCAAATCATTTCATACGTCGTTACAGAGGTATGTCATTGCCCCTATTGACGTATGATCACGGTGACATCAAACATATGACTAAATACGAATAAAGGAGAGTGTGTTTCCATGGAAACAATATTTTTCGAGGGAAAAAGGTGCGTAACCTATCAAAATTGTGATTTGGCAAAAATTTCATAGTTTTAAATGCGTACCGATTCCTAAATAGGTTAATTCCAAATCTCTACATGAGTTTTGAGATACTAAGTATTCAGAATTATTGTAACAAATGTCCACATGGACAGTTTAGAATCGTTATTTCGAGCATGTTCCGTTTGTCAGTTTTGATAATGTTCACAGTTTACCTGACAGAACTAAGTCAAAGCACATTCCCTGTTGAGAGAAAATGCAATAAAACTAAATGCATTGAACGTCACCTTGCTAGCGAATGTCATGTGAACGGCCAGCCGCTTAACCGCTCTAAAATACCAAAACAAATAAAACCATTTCATGTTACAGCCCAGTTCAGTTCAAATAAGGTTGACTATAATTGCACGTATTTGACGCAACAAAGGACGAATAAACACTAACATCGCGACTGAATGCTGCGTGTTTCTATAGGCTGTAAAGTTGTGGTTGACGGGCTTATTATGTTCGTAATTTGTATGTTTGTCACGCGCTGTATTATTATTGAAGCAGCAACAATAAAATTGTAAACTTTTAGATTCCAGCCACTGTCTGCATGGTGATTCAGAACTACGTCGTTCTCACCTGGACCATTCTTTGCTCCAATCATAATCATTTGCAATTCAGAGCGCATTACGTAAAATAGCGCCATCACAGTACAACTACGATTACAATTAAAGCGGAGGAGTAGATTTAGCGTGTCGTTGTTTACAAACAAGCGCCTACCCATAAGCCTTTGCGTTTTAGCATGCGCTGTTACGTCGGTTGGGACTCAATTCCGGCGCGTGCGCAGGTGACGACCCTTCCGCTTTAAATTAATGTTTTTGATTGTTTTGTTTTTTTACTACTGAGATATATACGTTACTATTGAGATGCATCGTGAGAGCGATATGTATTACAGTGTACGTGCATTCATAAAAACAGTACGATGTCACATCTGATCTTCCCTTTGCGCAACAACTTCAGATACACCCTGTCTACGTTTATAAGAGGATTCGCCACTAGATCAAACACGACATCAATTTCGTTTTAATTTGTTTTATCTGATTTATCAATAATTGTTTAAAGATAGGTAAATGTACGTTACTATTGGACAATCAGGCAATTGGTGTGTGAAATTAGAACTTCTTGGGCTGTATGTTCTCAAATGACGTCACTGAACATTATGTCGTGTGATTAATTATTTACGAAGACCTTCGATTCGGACAAACAAATGAGTAAACAAAAATTAAAATGGCGACAGACCTATTTATAACTGTCAGTTGTGGCGTTGAAATAATTCCTCAAGGGCTTTGTGATTATTCTATATTCTGTATTCAACATTGGTTGCAAATTGTCTTTATTGTTTATTCATATTTGTTTTATATTTTTAGAATAGGCTTTTTTCTTTTTCTTTTTAGATTATAGTTTTTAGATTTCTTTTTTGTAATCCTTAGAAAAGAATCAAAAGGGTTTCATCCCTTCCTAAGGATTTTATGCGTCTAATAAATATTATTATTATTATGTTCAGACAATAATTTTGTTGGGTTTCACAACAAATCACTGAAAAGTCACAGTAAAGTTATACAATTAGGGTTGAAAATGTCTTCATTGTCTGTGCACCTTATCTCATTTAATCACCACGCATTTTATCTCGTTCTATGATTACGTCAATTCTATTTTAGTAACACCATGTAATTGTGGTAACGACTCTAATGGAAACTGGTTAACTTTGTTTGTCGGTGTACCACACGTCACATATCAGCACTGTGTGTGAATTCTTTGATTTCACAGCATGTATAGTGTAAATACGTGAGAAATCTCTCCCAGACGGATTGGTGAGCAGCTATATATATGACGTCACGGTAACTGCTGATTCATCCCACTGTTCTCGCCGGCCACATGTCGTAAGCGTGTAACCAGTGCTGTTGGTGGGGAGGGGTGGTCGGTTAAGTTTAAATATAGTCTCTATGCCAATACCTACCGGTACTTGTCATTTATAACATCTAGTACTGAAATAGTCACCAAGTTTGAATTGTCTTGCGGATTGAAATATATGACCATAGAAAAATATTAAATAAATTTCGTTGAAGGAATCCGTAGAGCAGATTCCCCGCAATAACCGTAACCCGGACACACAGAGTATGCGTCCAATTCCAACTGAATGTCTCCACATTCACAGACCATGATTTCACTCTTCTTCGCCTCACAACTATATTATTTTACATCGAGATCGTAAAACTATGCAATTGAGATGATGGTCTTCACTTGACACTGGATAACCCAATATATGTTCAGATATATACCCCTTGAGTACCCAGATAAACGGACCAGGTATTCAATGGTCCATGGATAACCAAACATCGGGACCCTAGACACACACGCCGGACTACTGTGACACACTGCTGAACAACTTGAAACCAGGTATTCAATTGACCCTGGATACGAGAAAACATGGTACCTAGACACAAGCACCTGGCACCTGATGTATTATGATAAACGTACAATGTGTTAAATGGACCCTGTTTTCTTCTGAACTCTGGATAGCTAAGTACCAGGATCAAAGACACTCAAGACATGATAAACAGTTCATGAATTTAATTAGATCCTGGATAACCCTTGATTACCCACATAAATTGACCATGTATACAGTGGACCATGGATATCACAGCACCGGGGTCCTAGACCAGTGGATCCTGAATACCAAAGACAGCAAACACTGACTGAGATCCTGGGTGCACTGGCCCCAGTAATTTTGTTTCAACGAACTCTAGTCTATTTTACTATTAAAACAGAAGGTCCTCAGCTGTTCGCCGTCATTACTTTGAATAATTGAATGAATGACAGTTAAAAAAAACATCTAGACGATTTTGGTACAAATTATTTCAAATAGATTAGTTTTTCCACTATTCCACATTCAAAGTACAACAACGGTATTAGAGAAAAAAACAACTAATAGAAACTCTAAAATAATTTGAAACTATTGATATTTTTAGCATTAAAAATTAACAGAATTTAGCCGCACTCAAAATATAATAACATAAAAATACGTAACCTAAGAAAGGACTAAAAAAGAGTTCAATCAGTATGTTTTGCCGACTTCTTGTTGGTAACATCTGTATTCAGTAACACGTTGCGGACCGGCATAGAATCATTCCATGAAGCCCGAGGTGAACTGACGGTCAACCTTTGATTTTAACTACTCAAAACATCCAAGGGTCATACCTTATTTTTTAGTGGGTCGTCATTTAATTTATCAGTTTGTTGAAATTTTCTTTTATCGAAATGATGAGCATATTATCATGTTCAAATATTCATGGAAATGTATTTATTTTATGTAGAACAAGAGATGATATCATTACTTTTAAATGTGTTATGTCGGTTTCCAATGACCATTTATACGGGATGAATTGAAAATGGGACTGGGAGACCTTCCAATTGATCGGACAGGGTAACCTTGTTGTCATGACAGCCGGGTTATCTTGCTCTGTTGTATCCCAGGTCATGGTTCATCGAAATGTCGAGCGCTTTTTTAGATGGGATGTTATCGCACTCTGAATGAATATGTCTGCACCAATGAACGGGTAAAAGTACGGTGCAACAAACTCCACAGTACCATTAATATTCTAGTGAATGCATAGAACATGCTTATTGTTCACACGTGACGTCACCGCCGGGGTGATGGCATCACGCATGCGCAGCTACCGTATTACACAGGTGATTTGAATAGTTATTTGAATTCTTCTATACAGTGTATTGTGTATGAGGTCAGTGCCGTATGTACATGTACACTAACGGAGAGGGAAAGCAGACTGATCCGGGACGTGGGGGAAAACCATGGCGTTTTGGAGGAAACGCAGTCAGGCTTTTGAGCCAAATCCACCGGAAACAAAATACGTTGTTCAGTATCTAGGCAAGATGCCTGCCAACGGGAAAATGGGACTAGAATGTACCATGAAACCGGTTGAGACTATGTACAGAACGTTTAAATTCAACAAAGGTAAGAACTACCAACAAGTCATGATCGAAATTACAAACAAGGGCATAAGGATCGTTGAAATGAGTCTGACTGGCACGGAAGTGTCAAAGGAACAGTTTGTGCCCATTCACAAAATGTCTTTCGGAGCCGCTGACCCTGTCCATACGCGAATGTTCGCGTTCGTCATGAAAAACGAGGATATCGATGACGACAATCCTTGGGAGTGTCATGCCTTTTTATGTGAGACCTCGTCCGTAGCTAAAGCGCTCACCTTGTATTTAGTGAAAGCCTTCCAAAAGGCCGCCGAAGCGTGGGAGGCTAAACACAAGAAAAGTCGGAGTAAACCGAAGACTCTGCATATCACGCACGAGCAAGGGAGTTTGGAGCACCAGGTCGCTGAGAAGCGGACGCTACCAGCGGTGTCAACTGTTAAAATCACCCTGAACGTGGAAAATATTGAGGACTATGATAGAGTAGGGATGGACAGTTCTGGTAAAAAACAATCTAATCATGTGCATAACAACCGTGCTTTTGCTGCTGCTTTGGCCAAGAGGGAGCTGCCTATTGGCCCCGATGACTCAGAAAAGGACAATGAAAACGCTGCGCTCAGAAGCAAGGAATTACCGCCCACCGCGGATAGCGGTGATGAAAAACAAGAGCTCGTGGCCGCGTTCAACCTGCAAGTGATCGGCCCATCAGCTGCTACCAACAGCCCGTCCGCTTCCAAGCTCCGAAAACAAAGGAGCATAGACAAAAATAAAGATGACACTGAACACATTCACCAGGAAGCAAAAAAGGGCGATAATACCCACGGACAAAAGGAAACCAACGAAAACGGCACAAAAAATAATCCAGGCGCATCGGAACCGGACGAAGATATGGAGGAAATGGATAAAACCAGAAAGAAATCAGTGAGATTCTCCGAATCGGACTGTACCATTCCTGTTCCAGGATGGGCCGATGATGTCGTCTTGGGCGATGATGACGTCATAGCCACAGGGGGGTCGAAAAAATCAAAGTCTTCCAAAGGACTTCTTAACGGTATCGCCAATTTGAAATTCGGAAAAAGTAGTAAAAAATAGAATAAGGCATTGATTTCTCCAATTGTCTGCAATATAATGTGTAATATCTATTTGGGCGTTCACTGTAGTAATTCAACAAAATACAGGGCGTGGCGTTGTTTTGTCACTTACCCTTTAAATACATAGCATAAATTGTCTGTAGCCAGGACCTGATACAGACTAATACATTTTATCTTGTAATTAAGTAATCCCAGTGTTCCACATCATCAATTTACTAAACATACATATGACAAATCATATTTTAGAACAATTATTATAATATTTGGAGCAGCAGAATATATTGAAAACATTAAAACTATAGTTTTGTCAAATTGATGAAGTCACGATAATGCAACCAGTTTCGTATGTTTTTGACAATGGAGCTAAAAATAGACTTTCTAGCTTTATGTTTAGATGCCCGATCATCGAATTCAAAACACGTGTTTCGCACAAGTAATTGATTCGCAATTTTGACATTTTGTTACGTTGCGCAGCGTTGTGCAGGTTTGACGAGGTCAGTTAACTTGGGTTACCGGTATGCGTGATAGTTTACTAATTTCCAATTATACCTGATTGATTGGCCATTAACGCCGAGTTTGGACTCCCTATTTAAATGATTGCTCTTTACTCTTATCAACTACATTACATCCCTTCAGTGCCAGATATTTTCCCGCCCTAATTTCAGTACAAATATTTTCAAATTTAGTGAAATTGTCACTAAATTTCATCATCATTTTGGACCTATAGGCAGTTTCAGATATTGCTTTAAGTTTTGATCAAAATATTTGTCACATTCAAGTGGGGGGGGGACAGACTGTACAAAACTATTTTGTAGATGGAGCCAACTATTGACAATGGCCATGTCACGGTATTATTCTCATGATTGGACATGTTAAATTAAAGTTTATATACAGATTTAATCATTTATTCTCCAATTAATTATTCTTAACCTGCCTCTACATGTATCTTTTTAATAAAAGAATTTATTTTGCTTTTTATTTGACAATTCTGTAACATTTTACGAAATGTGCCACATGGCCTTGTTATCTACAATAATTATATGCATTGTACATACTTGCGACGTCATTCCGATAATTTGAACCATTGTAATTTTAACTTTTTAAAAACAACACCACCTAAACTATAAGGTTAGAACCGTCAATTTACAACATAGTATTTTTAATAAATCTTATAAGACTTTTAATTTGCAATGAGCGTGTTATCTGTCATGCGTAGAATGTGTTATTGTCTAAGTCACAGTGCTAGTATATGTATTACTGAGTATGTTATGTATTCTCCTTGACATCAGGGCGCCATTTGCATATGCACCACCAAATTATGTGATCAATAAACCACGGTATTCGGTCTCACTTCGGAGGGTCGGCGTGACATTGCACTATGATGTACGATATCACAGGATAATGTCTGTGTATTTTAGTAGTAATCGACATGAAGGTCATTGGTTAATTAACCGAACTGAGATCTCGGGGGACAAACTCCCAGCACTTTACATTGAATGTTTTTAGTAGTATTTGCCTCGCTTCAGAATTCAGACCATGAAGCTATAACTATATAGTTAATGCTATAACCCCTCTATGACCGAATGGTCATGTAGTTCATATTATCGTTGATGTATCAGTCCACTAATTCAATAAGACTAGTTTTTCACTAACCCATCCATATTACAACAGCTGTGGCATGGTATTACATGGCAGCATCCACAACTAGCTTTAATATACTACATTTTATTTAGCGGAACACTGCACAATCTACTTCCGGTACATCCAAATTGACTTAGACACATTTAATGTGTAATTGAGTGAATAGACAAGGGTGTTCATCACAAATACGTGTGATAATACATGTACATGACTCGATTACTGTCTTCGCCAGACACTCTGTGATGCGCCATACATGATACATATTTGTGTTGTCGAACTATAACGCCAATACACCTAGTCTCATCCCTCCAACCGTATTCACGAATTCAGCAACTAAACGTGTACACAAGTTAGAACACCAGGATAACATCAGAAGGGACATCGCAACCGAAGATGTTGATAACCTATGAAAATTGACTGAACCGAAATCCGACATTCCACAACTACATCCTAATATATCAATAATAATATTAATAGTTTAATCTCTTGATATTGACTATTCGGGACAGGTACTCTAGAATCCTGCCCTTGAAATACAATACAAATATATCTGAGTATATTTATTTCAAAGATTCGTGGAGAAAAGAAAATCGTCAGTCGTTCGACAATTTCGATGTTTCCGAAGCCAAACCAACTCGCATCAAATAAATATGTAGTATTTCACTAGTATATATCAGCCATTTGGTGAATATATTTCTGATGTCATAGGATGATGTAACAATAACATCTAAATATATTTTGGTTGAGTTATAAAGGTCAGGATGATTCGTTTTAGGATTATTTTAATAATACTAATAAGTGTTTATGAACACTTTGACAGAGGGACACGTGACAGGCCATATGGTAATCACTATGGTGACGAGGGATGTGCGTATATTGTACGGAAGATTGGTGCACAAGGATATCGCTGTAATTATGTACTAATATATCAAACATTTTGAGTCGCTAGTAGAATTGGGGAATTTAATGGGGACTGGCAGCACTTATACGATAAATACCACAATGTTTGTAACACAGCTGTACGTAATGGCGCTACGGCAACTTCTAACGTTCATTCAGTTTTATCGATTACTAGGTCATTGTCATGGGATCCAAAAATAATCGATTTGGCGTTTTGTTTGGTATAACGCAATCATTACAACCATAGTAAGGGCATTCATGTATATGTACGAGTATCACGTCACGGTGACCCACATCATTACGTACATAGTGTGTATTTATCCCCGTATTCGTCGTATTTATTACAATGTTTACTTAGTATTTACGGTAAACATTGTCTGGAATAATTTATTTCACATTGATTTGTCGTTATTTAATATTTTTGAAGGTGTAGTGAAAACGACAACACAGTATCGATTATGCTGTGGGTAATCAAAATATAAACAAGCTGTGACGTATATATTCCACGTGTACTCCAGAAATAATAATGTATTAACCTTATTTTCCGTTATCTAAAATCAATACACCAATTTTAAAATCCCGTCAGTAGAACAAACTATAATAGGAGGCCACCTCTATTCATTAAATAACAAATCCTACAATAGTTTGTGACTAAATTATAAAGTATTGTCGTAGTTTGTGTTCCATCAAATGACATTCATGTCGCCCGTGCATGTGGACCTACTAGTATTTGGTTTACAACCTTTGAATTAACGTTTATACATCGATGTTAAAGCTATATTAACTGATACATTTTGTTTGTAGAACTTGGCGTTCAACCGCCGAACATTGCCGAGCATTGCCGAGCATTTATGTAATGGATTCGGCCGAGAATTTTCAGCAGCTTAGAGTATCTAAAAGTCCATCGAATGGCATGCGAAACTGAAGACTATCTAATTATAAAGTTCATTAAATTTGATGAGAAGCAAGTCGGGGGATTTGTTCGACGAACCAACTGGGGTTCTAATCCACTTCCCATCGTTCAAGTCGATGGGTCGACGAGGCGATGGAGGCAATAGAGAATATTCATAGTACGCCGTTTTTGAAAAAATAATAAACACCACATATCACACTGGGAGAACGAATTGACACACAAACATTCATTTATATGATTTGTAAAATGAAAACTAGTGATTAATCTTCAAATATATTAACTCTACAGGGACCAAAGAATAAACAATACCAGTGACAAAGATGTCAAGAAATAACTTATAACCCCCCCCCCCCCCTGGACGCCACTGTGACGTATACCATTCAGGATCTCGTTAGACAGGACATTGTGTAGAACAGACATAATGTCAAGAAGATTGGAAACGTCTTCTTTTGGAGTTAGTATTAGTAGATTAAGTCGGCATGGCAGATGAATGTCAGCTGAGACTATCAAACGAACCGCAGTTACCTTAAGGCAGTTTACAACCACATGGCTTTCTCAAAATCATATCATTATTATAAGATGTTATATTTGGAACATTGTATACTATAGCGACCACAAATCCATTCTCTGTTGTTGTTTTTATAAATATTTATAAACTTCACAATTCGAACTGAAACGAGAGTTTTCCATTGGCCAACCTAATGACATTAGAACATGACGTCATAGCGCACTGCGCTCTTTCAACAACCTGCCATTGAGTATGCTAAATTATTAGGATCAAGGAAATTGGTTTGTGATTGTGACAATAATTCACATTTTGCATTTTTGTAACCAATCAATAATTCTGCACACAGTAGATCATATCAGTAGTCGTAGACCATAATTGACCCTGGAATATATATATATCCTTGGACCACTAAACTCGGAATACAACAGAAATGCCATCGATTGATGATATATTAATAGGATACTTTCAACAAATAATTTATTGAAACGATTCATTTACACTGACATCACTGTTGCATTACATTGTGGAATATGCACATGTATAAGACAAGACGGTTTTAGGTGGTGACACGCGTCCTCCATAAACCCACCAATGGTATATGATATGACAATAAATAACGCACTGTAGTTTAGTGGCGTCCAAATAAAACTGGGAGTTGTCTTATAAGATTTTACCTAGTCCATTAAAAATAATGAATTTGCTTTTGTTAATATTCATTTTTGAATACCAATTGTTACAGTAATTTTGGACTGCTTCAATGCACTTTTGCCATCTTTGGTTGTAGAAAACAATAGTAAATAAACAGCATATAATAAACAATTGAGATTCAAGCCATTTAAATTTACGGGGTCAAAATGTGTTTAACATAATGAAAATTAATAATCAAATTATACTAATTTGTGTCCGTATATACCCATATCGTTACATAAACAGTTCAATTGACGTCACGGTGCTTTATCTGACATCACACATTCAACATGTTACTTAGCAACAAGAAAAGTGTTATGTACTGTACCTGTCGCCATGACTCAATGACACCTTTCCTATCTAGCGACAAAGCACTTTCGAGACGTCACCATAAAATGACGAATGAAAACAAAGTTGTTCAAAGCGACAGTTGTGTTCAGTTGTGTAGTCTTTTGAAAAGTAGATAATTATTTGTACAAGCATTGGATGTATGACATCCTCATATTGTCACTTGACATGAAGACGACGTGTGTGTTTGTCCAGTTTACTGGCCACTCACTGTTTACAGTGTAAATAAATATATCATAATTCTGCATTGTGGAATTTTCATTGAATCCAACTCCGCCAATCACAATGCGCGCCCGCTCGTACAAAACTATACATGCGATACCACTGTGTGGCACAGTGTCGCTCAAGACGCGTAATTTGACGGAACAGTCGGTGTTGCGGTGTGTGTGTGTGTGTGGGGGGGGGGGGGTGCAGCGGCAAAGAACTTGCCGTGATCGCTGGTATGAAGCCTGCATTACATGTTGTGATTCATGTCACGGTATTTGCCTACTATTGTCAGTATAGGACTGTCAACATCGATATCTGACATGTATTTGGATGTTGCTTCGTACAAGTTAGGACAGACTTTTTTATTCCTTGTTTCTCGAGTTTTTATAAGGGAATTTTTTTTGAGGAGGACGGAAAAAAATAAAATTAATTCCTTTTTCCCATTAGATTTGTGTGATTCTCAAAGAATTGTAAGTGAGATCATTGATCGGAGAGAAGAAATGAAATAAAATTGTATTCCATGAATAACCTTGTTTCTCATCTGCGCGAGACTTCGGTACTTTGATCATGATACTCCCACGAAAATGCAACTTGGATTTGGTATGCAGCGGGCGGTAAAAAAATGAAGATGAAAATAATATTTTTTTAACAATTTTTTGCGTTTACAGGTCGGCGGGCGCGAGAAATTACGCTGAAATAAAATTTTATTTTTATTTCATTTTCGGCTCCTGTTCATTCGGTGGGTTCGCGAAACAAGGGATAATAAAAGTCTGGCTTAATCTCTACAAGGTGTACCAAACGTTATTCTAGTTCTAGGTTCAACAAGATACGTCAACTTCTTATTGTCGGACACTAACAAACCGATAACATATTGAATGTGTACACTATTACCTGTTGAACATACAGATGACGTGAACCATCAATATGACTAGTGATGCACACGACAAGAGACGCAACAACAGCGTGATTTTACAAACTA